TTAAACTTCTATTCAGTGTTTTACTTTGTAATTACTGCTCAGTGAAATCATGCAAATCCGTTAGGATCAGAAAAGCCATAATATATGTTTGGCATTATGAGACATTTTATATGCATTTTCTCATAATCTCAATCCTTGAAGTAGTGAGTTTTATAGATAAAGTGCATTATATACATAAAGAAACAGATTCAAGGGCTGGGTAACTTTCTCAACATCATATAGCTAGTAAGTGATCGTCTGAAACAGTGTCCACATTTTCTTCATTACTCAAGCTCAGTGCCTTGACATAACCAGTAATTATTCTTTTCATAAACTGCTTTTTATAGTGCCTCAAGAATATTTTTTAAATTTCTATTTGTAAAAAAAGATTTCTAATTTTACACTAATGGAAAGTTTATAATGTATTTCGATTGGGGAAAACCTATGGCATAATTGCTTAGAAGTAATCAAACTGCAAAATATTTAAATACATGTAATTCAATATTTAAATCATTTTCCACACCAGGTCAGTGCCTCAGTCCTAACTTGAAGGGCCTGATGATATTAAAAAACAGTGCTTCTTCTTCTTCTTCTTCTTTTTTCTAATTTGTGGTACTGCAGTTTCAAGGCTTTATTTTATCGCATTTTCTAATTCTTTCCTCTAATCTTTAATTCCTATAGCTAAAAAAGCTGGCTTAGGCTATTTATCTTTTCCCCCAGGTGGTGATCAAAGTAGGTGTTTCAAGTATATGAAATTAATTTTGTGATAGGGAGCTGTAATCTCATCCACTGATCCATCCTTTGAGAAGTGAATAAAGAGAGTAGGTAAAATCTTGAAAAACAAAAGCCATATTTACACGTTAAACCACACTGGTAAAGATTGAAAAGAATCAAGGTATTAATGTTTCGAGTATTTGTCCTTGCTGTATAAATATGTCTTTAGAAAGTATTTCTTTTGAGCCTTTCAAAGGCAAGAATGATCACTGAAGTCAGATCACATTTTGATAGGCAGCCATTCAATTATAGTATGTTTGTTCTGTGTGATCTCAAAGATCAATATATTTTTTTAATCTTTTAATGTTTTATTTTTTGAGAGACAGCATGAGCGGGGAAGGGGCAGAGAGAGAGGGAGACACGGAATCCGAAGCAGGCTCAAGGTTCTGAGCTGTGAGCACAGAGCTCAAGGCAGGGCTCAAACTCACAAGGTATGAGATCATGACCTGAGCCAAAGTCAGACGCTCAACCGACTGAGCTGCCTAGCCTCTCCAAGATCAATTTTTTTTTTAATCATAAACAAAAACTATTTGAAAGGGAATTAAATTTTAATAATATTTAGAAAGCTTTGTCTTGCTTTTGTGAATGGTAGGAAGAATTTCAACAATGCAATTACAACTAAGATTTGTGGGTATGTGTGCCCATTTTAGTTAACGTATTTTGAGACATTCAGTGATAAGAGTATCCAAAATTTTTGAGGCAATTTGGTAATTCTGCCCATGCCCAGTTTGTAACACTATTGATCAACATGTATCATATACCAAGTGTTGTGCTAGGCAGAGGGGTTTTCGTGATGAGCATGATGCATGGTCCCTGCCCTTAAGGAGCTTACAGTCTAGTAGGAAAAGCAATTTACGGTCATAGTGTGCTGCAGAGAAGTAGAGGGTGTTTGTAAGATTGGACATCTAAGTGATATCAAAAATGAGACCTAGAGGATAAGCAGGAGTTAGACTGGCAAAAAGAAGATACATAGCAGTGGGTACAGCATGTGCACCTGCCCTGAAGAAAGAGAAAGCCTGATGGTTTTGAGGAAGTGAGAGAAGTTCATTTTGGCTGGAGCCTTTCAGTTGTAGAGGGGCTGGTACAAAATGAAGTAGGAAAGGTAAAAAGGAAGAGGGCCACTCCAAGCTTTGTAGTCCCTGTTAAAAAAATTGGGCTTCTTAGAGTGTTCTTACAGCCACTGGAAAACCCATGAAGGACTATAAGCATGGAATGACCTTCAGGTTGCTGTGTGGAAAGAAATGGAGTGGAGGGAGAAGAGATCAGTTAAAATGCTGCTATAATCCAGGTGAGAGAGACTTTATGGTGACCTGGACTATGATGACAGTGGGGACACTAAAGTATCATGAGAAGCCAAAAGGTGGAAATAACCCAAAAGTCCCTCAGTGGATAAATGGATGGATAAATTGGGGTATGTACATACAAAGGGATATTATTCAACCATAAAAAGGAACAAAGGACTGACAGGAGCTACAAGTTGGATGCACCTCAAAGACCTCATGCGAAGTGAAAAAAGACACAGAAGGTCACATATTGCATGGTTCGTTTTTTACAATACATCAAAATAGACAAATCCATGGAGATAGTACACAGATTAGTGGTTACCAGGGGTTGGGGTGAAGGGAATGGGAAGTGATTATTTAATGGATATGGAGTATCTTTCTCAGGTTTTAAAAGCATGGAGAGGTGGTGGGTGAACAACCTCGTAAGTACACTAAATGGCATTTAATTGTACACTTTAAGATGGTTAATTGTGTGTTAAATTAATTTCACCTCGATAAAGATATCATGAGATGCTTTATTCATATTAGCTCCAAAGTGGAAACAACCCAAATGTCCATCAACTGATGAATGGATTAAAAATGTTGTATATCCATACGATGGGATGTTTTCACCATACAAAGGAATAAAATACTATTTCACATAAAAGAAACACACGAATACAATACATGCTACAACATGGATGAAACTTGAAATCATTATACTAAGTGAAAGAAGCCAGACAGAGCCAAAAATGGTATGCATTAATCTATATGAAATGTCCAGAACAGGCAAACTCATAGAAAGTGGATTAGCGGTTGCCCGGGGCTGGGGTGGGGGTGCAGGGATGGGAGGGAGGAATGGGGAGTGGCTGCTAATGGGTACAAGGTTTCTTTTTGGTGTTATGAAAGTATCGTGGAATTAATGGTGATGGTTGCACAATTTTTATACTACAAACCACTGGATGATACACTTTAAAAAGGTGAATTTTGGGGCGCCTGGGTGGCTCAGTCGGTTGAGCGGCCGACTTCGGCTCAGGGCATGATCTCGCGGTCCGTGAGTTCGAGCCCCGTGACGGGCTCTGTGCTGACAGCTCAGAGCCTGGAGCCTGTTTCGGATTCTGTGTCTCCCTCTCTCTCTGCCCCTCCCCTGTTCATGCTCTGTCTCTCTCTGTCTCAAAAATAAATAAATGTTAAAAAAAAATTAAAAAGGTGAATTTCATGGTATGTGAATGATATCAATAAAGCTATGAAAAAATATCTTGAGCTATAAAATACACCTCACACATCTTTTTCTTCCTTGAAATACAGCCTTTCTGTCTTTCTCAATGGAGTTAAGACTCCAGCTGCAAGGATAGTTACTAGACCTATTGTGGTGATTATTTCGCAGTGTATGCAAACATCAAAATCATCAAATCGTTATGTTGTACACCTGAAACTAATATGATGTTATGTGTCAATTACACCTCAATTTAAACAATAAGAAACCTTGTGTGGGAAAAAAAAAAAAAAAGACCACAGCGCATTAGTAAACTGCTAGCTGTGTCATTGTCATGTTAAATTCCATACAAACGAGTAGGGACAAACTGCACCACGTTGTAAAGGCTGGAAATTGCCTCTAAGGAATGAATGATATCTTCGTCTCTTAGTGATGCAGAGATCATTAATTTTGGAGAATTGTTAAGCCACCAACAATTTTGCCCTTTATTGTAAGAAGGAAAGAGGAACAGATGGATTTTGAGAAAAGCAGATGTGCGTATAACATACAAGAGAATCTCCATTAACCAACATGTTCAAGAATTGGTGATTCTATTTAATGAACTGCAAGGTAACCAGAAATTCTTTTTTATCTCCAATTCTTGATGAATTTTTGTCTACATGTCTGATTCTCTTTCATAATATATTAAATACGATTAATAATTCAGGGATTTGTAAAGCCTCATGGCTATCAGTTATGAAAATCAATGCTTATTGTCTAGCCGTAGAAGGTGTAGGGCTTTTGGATGGATGTACACGGACCCTGTACATAAGTGGATATGGCTGTGAGTATGTGTGTGTTTAATCCTCTGTGTTACTTTGAAACCCTCTCATTTGCTCCTTTGCTAAAGCACAGTGAAGGAAGAAACGTGGTTTACTTGAAGATTACTTATTACTTATTACATATCTACTATATGATATTACCTCTATTATGCCAGGTACTTTCACATGTTATCTTACTATATGCCTACTTTGTGTTCTAGTAGGTTGTTTCAAAAACTGGTGATTTCATCGGTAAACTATACGTAGTCCTGTGAGTTATCCCACGGCTCCAAAATGGTAGGCTATATCTAAGGAAATATTCCTAAATTATTATATTTTTAATATATGTCACTATATCTATCTTTCCTGCCACAAAGGGGAAAAATGTGTTTTTAGAAAATACTAGTAAAATTTGGTATTCTGGAAAGAGATTCTGTGGGTTGAAAGAACTCTGCCCCTTTGCAAGGCTGGTAATTCACATACACATAATTGTTAGTCTTCAGACATGAATCAGAGCTGCTGACAGGGTGATTGTCCGTTTGTAAGAGGGTGGATGGAAACCTGGCAAAGAACCACAGTCCTTTCATCTCCATTAACGTTCACATTCTGGCTGTAGTTACATCTTACTCCCAGATATAAGGATTTGTTGCTGTAGTCATCGTCTTGGACCTCAATGTCTCCCCCAGCCCTTACCAAAAATATAAAGCTTTTTTTGTTGTGCTAAATCCGTACCGTTCATTTGATTCATCTGTTGTGTTTGGAAACTTTTGTTCTCTTGGATCCTTACCTGTGTCTGATTAATGCCCTTACTAACATGTACAGCAATGATTCGCTGTGCCCGGTATCGTGCTAACTATTTTACATCCAACGTATCACATATTTACAACCATCCTGTGAGGTTGATATTTGTGTAAGTTAGGATTTTTTTTGGGGGGGGGGTACAATAAACACAGAACCCTACACAACAGGTTAAACAATAAAAGACATTTACTGTTGACAAGAAATCTGGAGATAGGTAGACCAAGTTTGGTTGAATAGATCAGTGTTGCTCCAAGGACCTACACTCTTCGGGTCCTTCAGCTCTGCCATTTTTAATGTGTCAGTGATGGTCCCGTTTGTTTTGAAGAGATGGCTGCTCTTACCCCAAACATCATGTCTCCACAACAGCATCTGGCTCAGGAAGCAAGAGGGCCAAAGGCAGATGGGCTTTCTCTTCACATGTGTCACTTATCAGAGAGGAAACTCTTTTCTGGGAAGCTTCTGCCAGATGTCCCGTTTGGCCTCATCAGTCAGAATTAGGTCACTTGCTCTCCTACGGACCCTACAAACCAACCATTGGTAGCAGGAATGGACACCTTAGGTCGTTCAGCGCATCTGCTGGGATTGGGCATATCAGGCGCTAAACAAAATCAGGATTTGTCGTCGTCGTTGCCGTCAGCAAGGAAGAGGAGTGAAATAGTTGGCAGGCAACCAGGCTCTGCCCTTACGTTCTCCCCTATTTTACAGATGAGGAAATGGAGGCTCCGAGAGATTGAGGTAAACCCATAGTGACAAAACCAGGACTCAAGCCAGGTCTGTCTGCCTCCACGGCAGTTTGTTGTCCCCTTACCTGCTTTAGCCTGGAACTTGCTATGAGGCAGAGCTACTATAGATGATATCAAAAAAGATTTATTACTGAAAGTGTCAGAAAAACTGCCTCCTAACAGTGACCGCATCACAGTGAAGTCTCAAAGCCGGGGATCTTTGGACAGCGGCAATCCTGGAGAAGGAGATAGGATTAGATACAAATTTTGCTGTCATGTCCCGAGAAAGGGAAACTAGGTGAGCAACAACACACAAAGAAGCTTCCTAAAAGAAAGCAAACGAGGATGTTTATAACCATCCTCGGTCTTTTCATTCTGCACTTTTCCCCCTGTTGACTTTCCAGAAACGGCCGAGTTCTGTCAAATGCTGTCTACCGGAAGAATCCAAAGGCTTCATCAGACGAACACGTTTCAAAGTGCCACTACCCCTTTTTTCCTTAAGAAATGCATCAAGCATCTGATTTGCTGCTGATACATTCTCTGTAAGTAGCATTATAATTAAGCACACACAAAACCATTCTGTGTTTCCAAGAATACAGCTGGGCTGGCACTGAATCGGCGACAGTGCACGGGCACTGAGCGGGAGGCTCCCATTGCATCTCAACTACCATGTACCTTCTTTGTGTGGCAACCAAGCCGTCTCCCCGCCTCCGCCCCGGCACCCTCTGAATCACAGGCCATTGCCCATTCACCCCGTGTCTGTCACTGAGCTAGTGTATTGGGCACCTTCACTGAGCCTTGAGACTGGCTGTCCTGCTTCCAAACTCTGGTCAGAAAAAAAAAATGCCAGGAAACCCAAGGGGTGCACCTCTCCCAGCAGGACTCCCTACCACCCCCAGACTGGTAGGCTCGGCCCTTGGAAATGAAACAATGGTATGCAGCAAAACTGCGGGGGGAGGGGGGGTGTGGGGGACAGAGAGAGAGAGAGAGAGAGAGAGAGAGAGAGAGAGAGAGAGGCAGTGACGGGGAGGGGGTTGCAGGAAAGGGCTGAGAGGTGAGATCAGGCTTCCCAACCTGGCTTCACCAGTGCTGGCTTGTGCGGCTTTGGCGAATTACCTTACCTCCAGCTCCCCAAGCCTCAGCTTCCTCATAGGTAAAATGGGGAACCCCAGCACCGACCTTGAAGACTGGGAGAATTAGCAGTAATTTATATAAAACACATGGTGTAAAATAAAAGCTCCCTGTATTATTATTATATTATTACCACCAGCTCTTTTGTAAACATGGACGTCTGTTGGCACAAAAAAATTTAGCCTGTGTTGTTATTGTTCTTAGGGTTGTTCGTGGATACGTACAAGATATACTTGCTTTAATTTTTAATGCATCACAAAGTACATAACCCTTTGTGGGAAATGCAGCGTAGAGGAAAACGAAAAGCAAGTAGCCTGGGGGTGTTGTGTGTATAAAAGCCAACAGTGGCAACCCCATCTCTCCCTGGCTTCTATGCAAACAGTTTCCTTTACAAATGTGTTTTTGGTATGCAAATCACTCTATGCAGATTTCTGTGTGCAAAATACAGCATAGAAAAATGGCCCTCTTGCCAAGGAAGATAGGAGATGTTGGCTGCCGTCAGATGAATTAGCAGCAAATTTTAGATTTCTTTTGCTACTGCTCTTTCTAACAATGTATGGGGGGAGCATATTTTTGGCACATGAAACTGAACTATTTTGGCTTTAGGTTGTGTGTTCTTGTGATAAAAGTGCGCTTATTGAAGCCTGTAACTACTTTTTGAAACCGTAATAATGTTTAGTGGTATTTAATTTAGCATTTCACAACAGAGTGCCACCACCGGCTAGTAAAAGGGCTTGTTCTAAAGTCACAGATGGCTTCTCATCCCAGGTTAGGCTGCTGGTCTCCCCTGCTTCGTACTTTTCTGGGAAGATTTGTGCTTATTAACAGATTTAAGTTTATATTTTGGAAACGTTTTCGTCATAATTAATGTATGTCTTAGCAAGTGAAAGGAATACATTTAATATTAAAATCACCCCCTTTCTAAGGGTGGGAACACGGGAAGCTAGCTCTTAATTCACAAGGCAATATTTAACCATCCAGGCAGAAAATAAGACATCTTTTTCACGGTGTTCCTTACTACTTTCAAAGTTTTTTCCTATTGCCTCCTCTTGTGAGGAGAAACTTTGTCGGAGGTCACTTGTAACAAAGGACCCAGGCCTGGGTGTTCGGTGCTTCTCAATCACGCTCAGGAAAAACAGCACCTGTCATCAGTGGACGGCCCCACCATGTCCCTTCTTTCTTCTTTCCTGTCTCTTTCACCCAAGCTTTTTTTTTTTTTTTTTTTTTTTTTTTTGGCTAGCTTTGGATGTTTCAAACTGGCCAAATGAGACACTCATTGATTTTACAAAAACAAAACTTAAATTGGAAGCATTTCTGAAAACAAAGTACCTCATCGGAGAGAGAATGATGAGTTAGCTTACTTCTAGCGGACATCGGGAATGACTGGGAATGAGGGAGAACAATACCTTCGCTCATTCATTTACTCACTTACACGCGCTTCCGTCCATTCATTCAGCACCGCGTTCATTCAACATCGTGCTCAGTGCGCATCAGGCATTACCGCAGGCGCAGGAACACAAACACCAAACTGGTCACAACCGCTGAGGAGTTCGCTGTCTACTAGAGGACGCAGATGCAGAAACAAACCGGCACCGATGTCCCGCAGAAGCATGTGCGATGTACAGAGGCCGTACAAAGGTGGGATCAGTCACTCCATCACGCCTGCAGCGAGGAAAGATTTTGGAGGAGTTGCCTCTATGAAATGTTTTAAAGAATGAATAGGTATTCTCCAGGTGGGTAGGGGTGTGTTGGGAGGGAGAGCACTTGAGGCAGAAGGAACAGGAAGCACACAGGCACCGGGCCCTGAACCAGGAAAGGGTGGGGAAGCTTTCACTGGGGAAATTTCTCTGGAATTTCTCTGTTCTCTAAGAACAGAGAAGGGGAGAGGTATGGGAAATACCCTCGAGATCTCATGTATTTGTTTCCCGTTTTTTATTTCCATTACCTCAGGTCAGCTTATAGTTTGTCCAAATTATTGCTGTGGCTTGTAACTGATCTTGTTGCCCTTGGTCTCTTCCCCTAATAACATGAGAATATTTCAAAAGCCGCCTTCACACACACACACACACACACACACACACACACACACTGCTGTGGGATAAATTCTGAGCACCTTACCCAGAGTATTTGAGGCTTGCCATCAGCCGACCCCACCCCCTCCACGCCACTGGCATTGATTGCTTCCTGCTCCACTACCTACCCCTCACCCTGTTTCTCAGGTCCAGGCCCCAAGCGTGGCCCACCTGCTTCCTGCTCCCTCCTCTGCCCACGTCAGTCCCACTGACCAGGCTGTCCATCCCTTACTGATTTTCACTTTAGTCCTTTAAGATTTAGCTCAAGCACCCTTTATCTGTGGGGTTGGCTCCGTCCTCCATCTGCCAGCATTGTGTCAGGGACTAAACAAAGGTTTTAGAGTCCCCAGAGTGGGCTTCAGTCTTGCCTCTGGCTTTACACAAGTTTCTGAGACTCAGTTTCTCCAACTGTAAAAGATGACTGCCTACCTGGCCCAGCTGTTCTCGGATTATCAACACAGCATGTTTATTAAGTATCCTCAGACATTAGAGCTATTATTTGTTATAATAATTTAACCTCTTTGTGAAATTCAGGCAATAGTAACCACCTTTCTAACTTGCTATGAGGCTTATAAACTGATGAATAGGATCCTCCCATAAACTGAAAAGCCCTTTAGATAAAGCTCATTATTATTGGTATCTCTAGTAACACACGCATCATTTTTTTCATGCATTCATCCACTTATTTAACATTTATTAAGTTTCCAATATTTGGTACATCCTAAGCTCAACATGGGGGATAGCAACATGAATTTGAAATGCTCCCAAAGAGCCTCAGGGAAGAATCAGACAGGGAGACGGTCAGGTCAAAAACCAGGTGGGGAACTCTGCGACCACATTGGGTGCTGCAGAATATGGGAAGGCCCAGAGCTTAGGGATGAATTTCAGAACTGCTGCCCCTGTTCTTGGGTCCAGAAGGATGTGGTGAGGTGGGGAAGGGCGTGGCAGGTGGAGGGAACTGAGTCAACCTGCCCCAGGCTGGGGGGGGTGGGGTTGTCAGACTGCTTAGGGTGTCGGGAACTGCAGTGAGGGCCAAGGAGCCCGGCCTGGGGCTGTGCTTTTAAAGAAGAGAGTGGAGTGAGGTGATCCTGGGGAAATTGCAGCGGGGACGGAGAGGTTGGACAGGCAGCCCTGGCCTGGGATGAAGGTTCTCAGTGCTTGCATGCTGGGGCAGTACAGAAGGCTCCACGGCTCCCGCCCACCTGAAAGCTCCTTGAACACAAAGATCAGAAATGGCTTCAGACCCTCTGATTTCCCCATGGTTCTCGGGGCCTGTGGGGCACGGTGCTGAGCAGTGAGTCCGGAGGGTGGACCATGATGGGAAGTTCTAAAGTGCAGGAAAGACCCCCACCCCAGCCACCACCCTAGCTGTGCCCCGAGTCTCCAGCCCTCCTTCCTGGCACTGAGTGGTGGGGGTGGTATGTTTTTTGCCAAGGAGCTGCAACGTCCACAATGTAGTAAGGCAAGTCAACAGGAAAATAGGGTTTGTGTTACAGAATTTCACTCTGAGTAAATTTTGCTGAAATGCACACAGTTACAAACTGAAGGAAAGTCTGCCAAAATGCTTTAAAAGTTGCAGGAAATGATTCCCTGTAACGGTTATCCCTTTTAAAGCCCTTTGAAGTCTGCGGGACAAGGCCAGCCACCATGTAGGTGTTAAAATAAACACTAACTTGTTGATCACAAAATGGGCTAAAGGGTACTGATTATAAATTGGTAGCAGTTGAGGGTTAATGACCTTCCCCCCCCCCCCCATATGTGGAAAAATAACCACTTAGAATAGAGACACCCTCTATCCAAATACACAGAATCCAGTCAGGTCTGGTACTATGTTACTACACCCTCTGAAGTTAAGGTTTTGAAAATAAACACTTGAAAGTCTGCCCAGATTGTTGTAATCTTATTAATCTAACAAAGAGACTCAGTAACTGCCTCAACCAGGGGGAGCTGTGTTTACCATGTAATTTGCAAGTAGCTGATAAACACATCCCTGCCCCACTTGCAGGAAAAGTCTCATGCTCCCTGCAAGGAAGCAGTTGGCAGACAAGCAGTAATAAAGGATTAGAGACTCCAAAAACCGTGGTTTAGGTCCTGGGTAAATGTTTGCTCATCTCCCCTATCCCCGGCCTCCCAGCCCCTGCCATCTTTCCAAGTTCCCGGGAATGGTGTGTGGTTTCTCCCAGTCTTGGCCCTCCTGGGGGTTCTGTCATGATGCTTCTGGCCCTTCCAGGCAGTCTACCAAGTTCTCCCTATGAGGGATATCTGCCCTGGGGTCTTGCCGGTCAACTCTGAGGTCATTCTGGATTCTGTGGTGGATTTTTAGAGCTGTCTTCTCTCCCTAGTCCAAGGGAGTGGTATTTGACAACTCCATGGAGCGTGGCTCCTCTAGGAGTTCTTGGTTGCAAACCTATAGGACGACCTCTGGCTAACTCAGCAGAAGAGGAATTTATTGCAAGAGCAGGGGCAGGAGTCAAGGAGGTTAGGCAGCCAGGGTTATGGCAAGTTACCACAGGGAGAGTCCAGCTGCCCCCAGCACAGCGACCCAGCCGTTGCTTCCTCATAGCTCCCAGCTCTGCAAATCATTGCCAAGTGTGGTCCCGCACCTCTGGATTAAACCCTCAGGATTAAAACCCCAGGAGGGGGCCTGTGTTTAGCTGCCCCCCAGGCCCACCTTCTTGCCCCCTTTCTTGCAGAGTTAAGCCCTGCCTCCCACCGGGACCCACACAAGAGGAGATTTGGATGTTGGGCTGTCAAAAGATGAAAAATGTCCATTTCACTGCCCTCAATAACGGTAGCAAACATTTACTGCACACTGTGCCACGTACTTTAAAGGGATGAACTCATTCAGTCCTCACACTGAAGATAGGGCTTCGTTTCACAGATGAGAAACTGAGGCACAAGAAACTGAATAACACGTTCAAGGTCAAACAGCTAAGAAGTGACAGAACTGGGAGTCAAGTCTCACCGGGGGGTTTAGACAGATGTCAGTTATTGTCTGTAGAGGTCCTGGAAGCTACATGTAAACCTGGCCAAAAACGAGTCTTTCACACATTATTAGCTAGCCTCCCCCGGTTCCTGCCTCTAACCTCCTCTCCTTCTTTCTGCCCCATTTTGCTTTACTTCCAGGCCCACCGACTCCCTCACCCACCCCGTGTCCATTGTCCATCCAGGCTCTTGCCCCCACCCTCTCACCCACGGCTGTCTGTGCAGTGCCCCTCCTGGCTCAGAAGTGTACGTGGCCCAAATCCGAAATACAGGATACAAAATGCCATGATTAATTCCATGTGAGAAGTTCCTCCTCTATGTTTTAAAAACTGTCCTTATGAGGGTCTGTTCCAGGATCTGAATCATGAACAGCAAAGAGCACATTAACATTCATAAATCGAATATTTCTATGTTTTTTAAAAACCGTCTTATCAATCAGTGATCATAGCATGGATAGCAACACAATTTGACATTCGGGGATTTCTATTCCTTTTTTTAAATCGATACGTTTGGAATCTGGTACGTGGTGGTCCCCTAATCAATATCAGCTGCATCAAGGAAAGAACCAGAGGCCTGTCACTCTGGCAATGACACCCTTTACTGAAAGATTGACTTTTTTGTGTGTGTGAGCACGTCACAAACAAAGCCTCATCCTCAGTCTTAAAGTATCCTGATTTTTTAGTCCTTTATTTATTTCCCTATTTCTTACCTCCTTGTAGATTACTGATTACCTCCACTTGCACTCTTGGAAAGGGCTTTTTTTTTCTAAGAAATATTTTTTGTTCCCAGCGTGGTCCGCCCCCCCCCCCCCCCAGCCCCATACACACACAGCATGAGAGAATTCCTGGCATTCCACGCCATTACTGAAGTCTAAACACGGTGATTTAGAATCTATCAGGCAGGAACGTGTGTGTGAGTTTGTCTTCTTCGGCATAGCCCCCTATCCCACTGTGATTTCTCAGCAAGACGTGATAATTATCCATAATTGTAGTGGGCATGATAGATAAAGACTGAACGTTAAATCCATCCTTCTAAAAACAAAATATATGCAGTGCACTATGTCTTTTGCAGTCCCAAGTTGTCGTTAAAAGATACCTGACAGGGGCGCCTGGGTGGCGCAGTCGGTTAAGCGTCCGACTTCAGCGAGGTCACGATCTCGCGGTCCGTGAGTTCGAGCCCCGCGTCGGGCTCTGGGCTGATGGCTCAGAGCCTGGAGCCTGTTTCTGATTCTGTGTCTCCCTCTCTCTCTGCCCCTCCCCCGTTCATGCTCTGTCTCTCTCTGTCCCAAAAATAAATAAACGTTGAAAACAAAAAAAAAAGATACCCGACAAACTCAAACTGAACTCTGGGTAAAGTTTCTAAAAGAACAATGGGCCAATACTTTAAAAATAAATGTGTTTTGAATAAAAAAGTAACTGAGGATTTAAGACTCCAGGAGCGGGGTGCCTGGCTGGCTCGGTCGGTAGGGTGTGCAACTCTTGAGCTCAGGGTTGTGGGTTCGAGCCCCATGTTGGGTGTAGAGGTTACTTAAAAATAAAATCTTTTTATTTTATTTTATTTTTTAAAACATTTATTTATTTTTGAGACCGAGAGAGACAGAGCATGAACGGAGGAGGGGCAGAGAGAGAGGGAGACACAGAGCCGGAAGCAGGCTCCAGGCTCTGAGCCATCAGCCCAGAGCCCGACACAGGGCTCGAACCCACAGACCGTGAGATCATGACCTGAGCCGAAGTCAGATGTTCAACCGACTGAGCCACCCAGGTGCCCCAAAAATAAAATCTTTTAAAAAAGAGAGAGCGAGAGACTCCAGGAGTGATACAAAAAGGAAGGGAAAGGCCTCAAGACGCCTTTTCCTAAATCAGAATGATTGAATTTGTTTCCACCAGCTTGATCCTTTCCTGAAGGCGGCAAACCAGAGTGCATCCAGTCACCCTCAAACATCTCATCAATCTCCCGCCACAAAAATGAATCAACGTCACATCCAGACTCTTATCCCACTTCCCCTCA